TGACACTCTGGGATAACATGGGAGGGAGGAGCAGGGCCATTGCTGTCTGCAAACAGCCCTGAACCAGCACAGGAGCCATCTTTCTGGGCCGTGCCATTAGTGTCACTCAGTTTCCACTTCTGTCACATTTCTCACTCAAGCCCCAGTGTTTTGGCAGGCCAGACTGAGCCTGGCATCCCAGCCTTTCTGTCAAGCAAAGATGACATTGTAAAAGGCTCCGTGCTGTACAGTAGTAATCCCATTTACCGAGTCTGTGGGCTGAGACTGAAATCTCTCTTCTTGAGAAGCAGATTTCAGCTGAGCAACTTCCACCCCACCTCCCTCTCTTCTGCCCTTACAGATAAGCTGGGATTCCACTCTAAAACATTTTCTCTCAAATCTGGTGTTGGATGAACACTTGGTTAATTTTTAGAACCCGTCCCAGCTGTTGTGTTCAGACACACAGGGTACACTTTACAGTAGGTTGAGTTCATAGAGAGATGAATAACAAAGAGCATCAGTGAGCAGGAAACAAATGGTGTCTGTGATTGATACTGTTTTCTTTCACAGGGAAGGAGTTCGATGTCAGAGCCAAGTGTGTTATCAATGCCACGGGACCTTTCACAGACTCAGTCCGCAAAATGGATGATCAGGAGGTGCCCAACATCTGTCAGCCCAGTGCAGGCGTGCATATCGTGATGCCTGGTTATTACAGGTGAGGCACGGGGAGCCTGCAGCCCGTGTGACACCATTTGTAATCTCTGCTGCTGCTGCTGAATAAATCAGCTGGGAGAGGCGCGCCGCTGGCTCTGCGGCAGCTCGCCGTGCACAGTTTGACTCTGATTTTTGTTTGTGTTTTTCAAAGAGGATCCTGACGCTGTGCCGGTGAGGAGAACAATTTCATCTCTTCAGAACAGACTGAAGCTGTGTAGTTTTTAGTTGGAGCTGCCCAAGGCAGGACTCCTGCTGAAGCATTTAGGCAGCACATCCGCAGGTGTGAAAGCACCTGTTTCAGTGATGCCTTTCAGCTGAGTGTGCTGCTGCTTGGTCACCCCCTCAGGGAAACAAGGAGCATGTAAAACCTTCCAGAGAGGTTGCACCTTCCTACAGAATCTCTTGTCCTGTTAAATCATGGAATCGCAGAGTGGTCTGGGTTGGAAGGGCCTTTAAAGATCATCTTGTTCCACTGCCTGCCTTCGCATATGAAACTCCCTGTGCAGTGACTCTGCCAGGATGTGGCTGTGCTGAGAGAAAACAGGAGTGCAGAAGCACAGAATAAGTGAGGGAATGGGCAGTGTAATCAGTAATAATAATTACTATCGAGTAATAGAAGTAGCTCAGAGTAGCACAACCACATTTGCTGTGGCCCCAAGCCCACGTGCCCACCCGTGGGGGTTTTGGTGGCCAGGACGTGCCCTCTGTGTTCCAGGAGAGGTTCCCGTGGCACTCTGCTCCCTGCAGTCTCCTGCTCCTCTCCCTGTTTGCTGTGCAAAGCCAAATCCCCTTCTCCCGAGCCAGCCTTGTCAGTCGGAACTCAAATATTGCCTTTGGTGCCTGAAGTCATTAGCATCCTAATGGAAATTCCCCTTTATGGACTTAGCCCACTTGTGTTGATACAGTGCCCTTGCAGTAATGCCTTCCACAGCCCCTCTCAGAATGGGAATTCAGCCTCCCAGTGCACCAGGGGGTGCTTCTGCCACAGCTGTCCCAACAGGACACCACCGCACACTGGAAAATTGAGGCATTTTTGGCCTGGTGTAAAATCACCCCTGCATTCTCTTCTGGTTTTTTTTTTTTTTCAGTTTTGTATCTTTCTCCATGAAAAATGGTAAAATGACCTGATAGCTGCTTTAAAGTACTAAAAATGTGGAGAAATGGGCTGTAATCCCAGTTTCCTCATATGCCAGGAGAAGGATGTGTGTGATTAGCTTTATGGCCCTACACAAAAACATGGAAGGCTTTAGAACCTGGACTCATTTGGTAAATTCAAAGTAGAAGATGGCTGGATACGCTTGAGAGCTCTGATTTATTTATTCTGTAATAACCCAATAATTTTAATTGGAAATGTGGAGAATTCTTGTTCTCCATGTTCCCCGGTGTATGTCAGCATGTGGGCACTACTTTCCTTGGAAAATAGTATCTGCCCACACACTGCCTCCACAGCACAGCTGATGAGATAACACTGAATTTCCTTGGAGTGGGATCGCTGAAAGCAGGGATCTGTCTGCTAAATAGAAAACACTCGTGGGATTTAATCTTGGTTGTATCAGGCCTTCCTTCTCGTGGTGCCAAGGAACACTGCTCAGCACAGGAAGGTTGGCATTTCACCGTGTCCACGTGTGCCCTGTGAATGTGTTACAGGATTTTGGCCCACAGTCACACAAATGATTTTTTTTTTAATATCTATAGGGTTTTAGTTATAAATATAGTCAAGATTTTGTAAAACTAATGTTAACCTAATGCATTCACTCCCCATGGGTTTCTTACTCATTGAAGTCCTTCATTAATAATCCCAGAATTCCTCCCCTCATTAATTAGGCTTCCTGCCTGGAAAGTGTCTGTGAAGGCAAAGCTTTTTCCTCTCCCTTCTGACCAATTTCAGATGTTTCTGTCTTTCTGGAGTTTTCCTCTTTGCTCTGCATTCCACATTCCAGGTAAACTTGCACCTCACTTCTCTATGGAAAGTCACTTTATATTGTTCTTTAACTGCATTTGTGGTGCTTTGGTCAAATGCTTCTTCAGCTGAAGATCTTCCATGGATCCAAGACCTTCCATGGATCTCCCAGACCTTTTGCCTCTACGTTTTTCTTTAAAGGCATTGGTTTGTGCTTAATACTAAATTTCTAATTCTCAATTAGCCCATTTTAGCCATCTTTAAAGAGAAATCTCACCAGGGCTACATGGCTCTTACCTCCTTCTCCCATCCATGGCGGAATCATAGGAATTCTTGCCTCACAAAATCGTGTTGTTTCAGAGTTATTCGTGGTGTGCAGCAGCATGACTCCTGAGGCCTCAGGAAGGCCAGTATTTGGGTGTTAAGATGCTTCTTTCTGATGCAAAACACCTTATTTTGCATTTGTTTGGGTGGTTCTTTAGTTATTTAAATAAGCTGGAACAAGCATGGCAAAGGGCATGGAGAGAGAGCTTCCCAGGATAGCTGGTATCAGTGATTCAGTAAATAATTGGCATATGAAAAACGGTTCCAGCCTTTCTCAGCACTTGCTGTGCAATCTAAAACACTTCAGTCCAGAGGTGCTGTGGGGAAACTTAGTTGGAAGTCTTTGCTTGTTTGTCTTCCTTGTTTTTAGCAGTTTTTATGAAATCATATAAAAAAAATTCATACTTTGAAGAAAATGTCTATGAAGTTTCTGAATTCTGATACTGTATATTAAACTTCTGATTTCCTATGTCTCTAAATCAACAGCTTTTTCATTTTAAAAAGTAATCATTTGTCTGAGGTGATTTACCTTTCCCAAACCTGTGTTGACTTCCCTATTAGATTGTGCCTCTGCCACCGTATTCCTAAGCTGTCTATAAATATCAGCTAAAATGGGTCTAATATACATGCTAGCTATGAAATTCTCAGCCTCTCTCCCAGCCTTGCCAGATATTGCCAACTTCCCTTCAGTAATCACTTCAGACTTCCTAAAAAAGCAATATTCAGCTTGAATAGGTAAATCCCACCCAAGCAGGCCTTAGCCTGCCGTAGGATTTGAGTCCACTGAATAATTCCCCCCTGAATTCCATAACTGCCACCTAAATCTGCATCTCCTGCCCTCCTTCCATGTGCTCCCTGTGCCTCAGGAGCAGGGGCACAGCCTGAAGAGCCCTGACCTGACTGCACATGTAAAGGGAGATGTAGCACCTTAAATGAAAGTCAGCATCAGTCCTTGAAGGAAAAATGATCGAAAACAGGGGCAGTTCAATGTTTTCCTACATAAAAGCTGTTTACTTTGAAGTGTTTATAAAAGCCTTTTGTTTTCTGAAATACAAGCAGAGCTTTTTAATAAGCCATGAGGAGGTAGTGGGTTTGTACCTGTGGATATCTTTCTTACATTACACCAGAAAAACCTGATACATTAATTAAAATCTATCCAAAGCCCTACGGTTTTTCATCCTTGTACTGAATCATTCTCTTGTAGCGCTGGCAGAAGGAATGAAAAATGCCTGAGTAGCAGCATCCACCGAGTGTCCCTTTTGCCTTTTTCCCTCAAAGCACAGTTCCCCTTCCAGGAGCAGAGCTGGAAGCACTCAGAGCACGTTCCTTGGTCCAAATCCCTCGGGAGTCCGTGGGTGTTCCTTCCTGCTCAAGTGGCAGGTGGTGACAAACTCAGGCTTAGTGTCACTGCAAGGATATTCCTTAAATGTCTTCATTTTTCTTCTTTATTCTCCTTTTCCTTTCAGTCACCACCCCTCACTCCTCCTGCTCCACCTTTATTGTGGAGGCAGATTGGAGGAACCACTGTGATTTTATGGCATAAATACATCCACGGGCCTTGTTTCCCTAACCTGCTGGGACATCTGTTAAAAGCCATGTCTCGGCCACATGTGAAATCCATTATTTGTTGATTTATTAACCCCTTCACCTGGGAACAGATGCTGTGTCCCAGTCCTTGCCTGGGCCCTGGGGGTGCAGGGGCAGCCCCAGGTGCCACCCCCTGTTCTGGTGTGAGCCAGGCCCCTTCTCTCTTCTCTTCCAGCCCTGACAACATGGGGCTGCTGGACCCGGACACCAGCGATGGCAGAGTGATCTTCTTCCTGCCCTGGGAGAAGATGACGATCGCAGGGACCACGGACAGCCCCACAGATGTCACTGCCCACCCCATCCCCACCGAGGAGGACATCAACTTCATCCTGTGCGAAGTGCGCAACTACCTGGGCCCCGACGTGGAAGGTAACTGGGGGGCCTTGCTGGGAGGGGCTGGGGGCACTGCTGCCTGGGGGGCATTGCAGCCTGGGGACATGCCAGCCTAGGGGGGCATGTCAGCCTGGGGGAGGCTATTCCAGCCTGGGGGGTATTGCAGCCTGGGGGACACTACAGCCTGGGGCACAATGTGCTGCTGCCTGAAGCTGTGGCTCTTGGCATCTGGCTGTCCCAAACTGGTGGGCCAAGGTGTCAGCAATTGCTGCTGCTGCTCCAGAGCATCCAGTCCATCACCAGCCAGCACCACCACTAGCACATCTCCCCAAGTGCCACATCCACTTTTGTTTTGGGCACCTCTAGGAAGGGTGACTCCACTACTGCCCTGGGCAGCCATCTTCCCTCCAGACTGAGGGTTTGGTTTGTTTAAATTATTCTGTACTGCTGTGTTTCTGCTGCAGCATTGAAATTAGTCTGAAAACCACTCAGGCAGGAACACTGTAACATACTTGGGTTTAGGAAAACCTGCTGTCTGGAGATGGGAAATGATCGATTCCTTGTTTCCTGAAGTGGAGAATTGATGTCTGCATGTTGTATGAAGTTCTGGAAGTGTCCAGGGAAGCTCCTGTTGGGTGTCTGGAGCAGTAGTTTGTTTTGGAAGCGCAGGAGACCAGGGAGGGATATGGGAATGTGAATAGGACAGAGATTAGATGGGATATTGGGAAGAAATTCTCCTCTGTGAGGGTGGGCATGCCTGGCACAGGGTGCCCAGAGCAGCTGTGGCTGCCCCTGGATCCCTGGCAGTGCCCAAGGCCAGGCTGGACAGAGCCTGGAGCAGCCTGGGATGGTGGAAGGTGTCCCCGCCATGGCAGGGCAGGATGGGATGGGCTGTAAGTAAGGTCTGTCCCAAGCCAGGCCATTCCCTGGTTTCCCACTTGTTTTCCAGCAGCACATTCAGGAGTGTTCAGTCCCTCTGGCTCAGCCCAGCTGGGCCTGTGCTGGTTTTCCTGTGCAATTACTGTTTATAGATGGCCGGGGCTGAAATAACAACGGCACTGCCCATATCACCCCTCGACAGCCCTGCCTCTGCTGCCAGAGCCAGTGCCAGGGTTATCAACTTCCACAGGCTTGGACACCTTCCAGCTGCTTAATTACAGCGTCACGCGTGCTGCTTTCTGTAGTTTCATTAGTTTATAAACCTAATACAGGGTCTTGTGTCTGTGATTAACACTTCATTTTGGCAGCTTGAACACGCTGGCAGAGCACATTGATTTCGGAAATCTATTCCGTGTTCTTTGGGGGATGTGTTTTACACCCTTTTAGTGATTTTTCAATTATCGGTCATTTGAAAGTTGTATAAAAACATGTTCCAAAGACTTCAGTATAAAGCAAATTGGTAACTGCACTTAGGGTGAAGGCTGTGGATAAAGATGGCTTGTCAAGAGGAAATCTTGGAATAATAACCTTCAATCTAGAGGAAAAGCTTGGAAGATCTGAAAGGAAATGTTATACTCATGTAACAAACTTTATTTTGGTTTATAAAATATAGTGTAAGGACTGTTCAGATTCACTGGGAAGAATTTTCCTGGAAAGGGGGGTCAGGCTGCAGCTGCCCAGGCAGGTTTGGAGTTCCCATCGCTGGAGCTGTCCAGGGAACAAGTGGATGTGGCACTCAGTGCTCTGGGCTGGTGACAAGGTGGGCATTGGTACCAGCTGGACTCGATGGGCTGGGAGGGCTTTTCCACCATCACTGGTTCTGGGATTCCATAGCCCAGCTTATCCCGGGGCTCTGGGGGGTGCTCAGGGCCGAGCAGGCTGTGGAGCACCCTGGCAGTGCCCACTGGGAGCTGGGCACCCCTGGGCTCGGGCTGGCCGTGCCTCAGAGTGGCTCTGCACAGTGAGAAGAGGAGATGTGCTGGCAGCCTGGAGCGGCATCCGGCCCCTGGTGACCAACCCCGACTCCAAGGACACCCAGTCCCTGTCCCGGAACCACGTCGTGACCATCAGCGACAGCGGCCTCATCACCATTGCAGGTACTGGGGGTTCCTTGAATACAGCTCTGCTGGGATTCCCCGGGGTGTTGCATGCAAAAATCCTGTTCTGTGGGAATAATTCTGCTCCTGTACCCAAACTGCTCTGTCAGTGGCAGCGGGACTGGCTTGGAGCAAGCCTGGCAGCAGTCCTGTGGTCTGTGGAATACAGAGATATGTCTGCAGGGTGTAAGAGCCTGTATTCGTGCTGCTTTCCCGAAATAACGAGGTGAGCCCTGTTCCCAGGTGGGAAGTGGACGACCTACCGTGCCATGGCCCGGGATGCCATCGACACGGCCGTGCGCGAGCACAACCTGGAGGCAGGCTCCTGCAGAACCATGGGGCTGCTGCTCGAGGGGGCCCAGGACTGGAGCCCCACGCTCTACATCAGACTGGTGCAGGACTATGGACTGGAGAGTGAGGTGAGCCCTGCCTTCCTGCCTCAGGGGGGCTTGCTCTTCTCCTAAATGAAACACCAGCATACCTTGGGCAAGGGTCTGGTGAGCCCGATGAGAGCTGGGGCAGAGATAATTCTAACAGAAATAGAGTTAGTAATGGTTCATCATCTTCCCCTCTTTCCTTCCTCCTAATCTTGACCGTTTCCTGCAAAAACTCTCTGACTCGTGGGGTGTGTGGTCCCTGGAGCCCCCAAGCTGTGCAGCAGCGTGATCGCTGTGTGGCGGGAGAGCTGGGCTGTCAGGCCTGGTGGCACAGACACAGCAGGGCAGTGCTGGTCCAGCCTCCCACAGCACTGAGCTTCCTCCCACACTGCCACACTCCAACACCCTTCGCAGGCTGTTTGTTATTGGGGATGAGGGAATGGTCAAGGAAAATGTGTCTTTTATGTGCTTTCAGAGCATGCTGGATTTGTTTTCCTCTCCACAGGTGGCTCAGCACCTGGCTTCCACCTATGGGGACAAGGCTTTTGAGGTGGCCAAAATAGCCCAGGTGACAGGGAAGAGGTGGCCTATTGTTGGGAAACGTCTGGTATCTGAATTTCCTTACATCGAAGCTGAGGTATGTGGAAAAACCGTGTCACCTTCTGTGATTCTGTCCTTGGGACGAGCAGGCCAGTGGCTCTGAAACATCTGCTTGAGCCCTTTCCTTTGAGGAAACTAAAGGAAATTTTCTGTGCCTGTACCTGGAGCACACTTTGTGTATCGATATATACACATATGAATATATCTATGCACAATTAAATATTTATATAGTGCCTGTTTTGTACTTCATGTACAAATATTGGATCCCAGATGGTTTCTATAAACTGTCCCAAGGAGAAGGGGCTCTCCCAGCCGTGTCTGGGGCTCTGGGTGCCATCCCTGCTGTCCCTGTCCCCAGGTGTGTTCTATAAGGTGTCCCAGGGACAAGGGGCTCTCCCATCCATGTCTGGGGCTGTGGGTGCATGCCTGCTGTCCCTGTGCCCAGGTGGGCTCTGTAGAGTGTCCCAGGGACAAGGGGCTCTCCCAGCCCTGCTGAGGGTCTCTGGGTGCCATCCCTGCTGTCCCTGTCCCAGGTGGTGTACGGGGTGAAGGAGTACGCGCGCACAGCCGTGGACATCATCTCGCGCCGCACGCGCCTGGCCTTCCTCAACGTGCAGGCTGCCGACGAGGCCCTGCCCCGCATCGTGGACATCATGGCCAAGGAGCTCAACTGGAGCGAGCAGAAGAAGAAGGTACAAAGGGCCCTTTTCAGCTCCAGCTGCTTTGTTTTGCTCCAGGAGTTTCCCTGTTAAGGATGAATAGAGAGCTACAAGTGATGTTTTATTCCCGGCAGAATGAGTCACTTGGTGCATTTCATTCTAAAGGCTTTATCAAATGGCTGTGAGATGGGTGGGGATTGGCCATGAGATGGGGGGGAAAGATCTGTATCCTGTTGCTCCCCAGCCTTAGAAATGAAAGCAGGCTTGGCATTGCTGTCCTATTCCTGTCAGTTATTTGGCTTTATTGACACTTTCCAACAGATCTGCCTCAGCAAAGGAAGTTCCTGTAACCATAAAGAACCTGCCTGGTGTTGAGCTCCCTGATTTTTTTTCTGATTTTGGACAGCTGAGTCCAAGTCATCACACTAAAGATCACACTAAATCATCATCACACTAAGATATCAAATGGGAGAAAAATGACAAGTTGTAGGCCTAGCCTAAAAAGGCCATTTCTTTCTGAAAGGGACACTCAGACTGTGTGAGACTGAAGGTGTGGATGCACCTGAAAGCATTCACACAGAAATTGGAAGTCTTTACTAGCATGGATACCTTTTGCAAAGAGTAAAAAGTGCCTAAGTTTAACTTTTTGATACTTCTCAGCTGCTATCTTCTTAATTTTGGGACCTTAGAAAAGTATTGGTTAAGTGAAAGAACCTAATAGTAAAGTATAAAAAATAAGTACCTGCGTAAGAACTTGCTGTTGCTCAGATACTCAGGTTTTCTGTTTTCATTGTAGGAGGAGCTTGAAACGGCTAAAACATTCCTGTACTATGAAATGGGCTACAAAGTGAAAACAGATCAATTGACAGACAGCTCTGAGATCAGCCTGGTGCCTGCAGACATTGAGAGGTGAGTGGGGCAGGAGGGCTGCCCGTGCTGCTGTCCCTGCAGCGCGGGGAGCCCTGACGTGCAGCCCCTCCCTCCAGGTACAAGAAGCGGTTCCGCATGTTTGACAAGGACAAGAAGGGCTTCATCACCATCCTGGACGTGCAGCGTGTGCTGCAGGTGAGCTGCCCCTGCTCCTGGCTCCCTCGGGGAGCAGCCTGCTGAGGGCTGAGGCCAGGCTGCTGAGCTGAGCCCCCCGTCCTGTGCTCGTTCTGTGCAGAGCATCAGCGTGCAGATGGACGAGAACACCCTCCACGAGATCCTCAACGAGGTGGATCTCAACAAAAACGGGCAGGTGGAGCTCAACGAGTTCCTGCAGGTGCGTGCTTCCTTTGGTTCCAGGAAGGGCTGGTTTCTGAGCAGCACACAGCTAGGGAGCTTTTCCCCTTGCTTGGGCTGGCCTGGAGACCAGGGGAGTGCTCCTGTGGTGGTGCAAGGGGCACACGGAGCATCCTCAAGCGGCTCAGAAATTCAGAAAAAAATGCTTTTTTTCCCAGTCAGACTCAAAGAACAGGTCCAATTTACAAAGTAGGCCCCAGTCCAGACCTGAATTTGGCATTTTAAGCCCAGAAATGCTGTTTAAATGTATTTAAAAGGATACAGGTGTCCATTGGAAGGTTCACGGCACAGGTGTGCACACTGGTGTTATCCACAGCTGTTAAGGGTTGTTATAAAAATGAGTAAACTAAAAAACTGAATAATAAACAACTGAATAACCAAGTATTTATAATTATAGATAGTAATATAACCACAATGATAAAAACCTAAATAACTAAATTATAAATTGAATATTATAAAGAATGAGCTTGTAGTTAGAGCCCATCCCAGGCCCTATAACCCTTTTTAATTCCTGGATTGGCTAAATTGTGCCAGCTTCTCTGAAAAAAACGACATGCATCTGCTTTTTGGGGGACTTTAAGGCAAGCCCAAGGGTGCTCCCTTTGCATATGCAGTTTGTCAGCTGGGCTGGTGTTTGAGGAGTCTTTTTTGGGGTGGTATTTCAGAGCCTGCTGTGTCTCCCCTGCCTGGTGGCAGTGATGAATGCCAAACAGGAGAGAAATTAATGCTGGGGATTTTGGTCAATGTCAGCCCTTTCTTCACTGTGTCAAGTTAAACAAACAAGATCAAGGCAAAGGAAATGGTAATTGTCTCTCTGGAGATGAGCTGGGGATAAGAGCAGCATTGTTGAATCTAAATGCAGAAAATTTTCACAGGTTGTGTCCAGCATTAGCAAAAAGGAGTATTTATTTGCCTAAAATGCAGCAATTGAGCTGAGGGGCTGTAGTGAACTGGGGGGAAGGGGAAAAGCCAAACCAAACAGGCCAGGGGGAAGGAGAACCAATGGCTTTGGGAGTTTATGCTGACCTGTTCAAATGGGAGAGAACAGCCCAGCTGGGTTCTGGCTGCTGGAAAGGGACACCCTGGTACCTCCACTGGGGCAGCCCAGCCCTTTCTGCAGGGCTGAGCTAGGGTTGGGGACATTGGTTGGGGAGCTGACACAACCAGTAATTGTTGTTCTGTGGGGTTTGGGGGCGTTCTGGGGTGTTTTTGCTGGGCTGAGCAGGCTCACCAGGGATTGCCAGCCCTACATCATCCCATACAATGCAAAGGCTTAGGAGTATTTCAGGGTTATTTGTGCAAACCTATGTCACTCTGTGGCTCCTGCAATCTCCCAGAGCAGCAGTGATGGGGATGCCTTGTTCAGGCTGCCCCGGAGCAGAGGCTGGGCAGAGTCCCAGAAAAAAGCAGGGATTCATTCCCAGCATCTCCTCCATGGATCCACCTCGGGCAGCACCAGAGCCCAGCCAGGGCTGCACCCAAGATGACCCAAAATGGCCCCAAAATGCACGGCCGGGCACGGGGTCTGTCCCTGGGATCAGTTCTGCTCCATTTGCACCTTGCAGTTCATTGTCCCATCCCAGCTTCAGCCCCTGCAGTCCCACCCTGCTTGTTTTTCTCTCTCCAGCCCACGGGGTTTGTGCTCCTGGGCTGAGATTTGGGTCATTTGTCCTTGGTGCCCAGCTGGAGCAGGAATTGTTTTGTCTCCCTGCTCTGTGCACAGAGCTCAGCAATGCTGACTGTGAAGCTCAGAGCTGCACACTAAAGCAGCACAGAATGTGAAAAATATAAATGCTAAAACCTGAGACATCAGGGCCCTGCAGGGCTGAGCCCTCTCCTGTGCCTTGCACTGCTCCAGGGAAGCACTCAGTGCTAAGCACGAGGGTGCCACTGAAATGAACTGGGGTTGCCATGGAAGGAGCAAAATACATTAAATGTTTGTTTAATTTTTTAATGGATCTGTTAAGTCAGTGCCCAATACTTGAGTGTTTGCTTTCTGAAAACTTTCAAGTAATTGCGTTTGAGCGCAGAACTTGTGCAAGCCCTGGGCAAATATTTGTGGAGGTTTGTGTTGGAAAATAGAGCAGGTTGTGCCTGGGGGCTGCTGGCCTGCAGGTGGGAGCAGAGCAGGGCTGGCCTGGGCCACCTGCACGGTGCAGAGGGGCCTCAGAGGGCTGGCAGAGAGGGGCCCTGGCAGCCCCTGCTGCTGGGTGCCAGCTGGGGCAAACAGGAGGGACAGAGAGCCTTGGAACTGCTGGTAAAGGCAACCAGCCCATGTTCCATCAGGAGGAATCATGGCATACCAGGGTGCTTTGAGTGGGAAGGGTCCTTAAAGCCCATCCCGTTCCTCTACAGCACATTGCCCCAGGCTCTGGCAGGCTGGTGGCCCGGGAGGTGACTGGGCAGGGGGCAGTGCCTCTGCTGCTGGGAGATCCCTGCCTGTGCACAGGTCAGGTGCAGGTGTAATGAGCAGCTTTTCCCATGGGGGGAAGGAATCTGAGGGATTCCTGCAGTCCGTGGGAGTAAGAAATTGCATTTGGCAAGTGCCAATTGCTTCCCCAGCGCTCTCTGCAGAGCTGGCTGCAGGTAATTCCAGCTCTAATGCTGCCTTTATCCATGGGATAAAAAAGAATTAACTAAAATCTTAGCACTAGTGTGCTTGCACTGGGAGAGAGCAGAGTCCAGCTTCCAGGACTTAGAAGCAAATTAGTTTTAAAAGTCTATAAAGGAATTTGGATTTGAAAGAATTGTGGGAGTCAAGTACAGTGTCTCTCCAGAGAGAGGCATGTGGGTGGAAAGGGCAGGTCTGGGATCAGTGATGGATCAGGAATCACAAAATCCCTGCATGATGTGGGCTGGGAGGGACCCTAAAGCTCATCTTCAAGCTGGGGCCAGGGACACCTTCCACTAGATCAGGTTGTTCCAACTGGCCTGGGGCACTTTGGGGATGCAGGGGCAGCCACAGCTTCTCTGGGCACCCTGTGCCAGGGCTTGCCCATCCTCATGAGGACCAATTTCTTCCTAAATGCAAAAAAATCCTGAATTGTCTGTGAGCTGCATCCTTCAGATATTGCAAATAACCAAAGAAAACCTGTGCAGCTGCTGGGCTTTCCCACATTCTGAAATGTCATGGAGGAGCCCCAGTGATGACAGTTGTCTGCCCTGCTTCCAGGTGGATCCTATTTGGTACTTGCCCTCCTCCTGCCACCCAGGCCTGTCCAAAGCAGTCCCTGATAGCCCTGGGGGTGTGGGTGAGCCTGGGCCAGGCTCTGGGGCCGCAGTTGGTTGGGGTTTGCAGGTTGGGGATGCAGGTGTGTGTCTGTGTGTGTGTGTGTGTGTGTGTGTGGGTGTGCGTGTGTTGGCTGCAGTGGCAGCCCCCCAGTGACACTGTCCCCATGTCCCCAGCTGATGAGTGCCATCCAGAAGGGCCGTGTGTCGGGCAGCAGGCTGGCTGTGCTGATGAAGAGTGCCGAGGAGAACCTGCGGCGCCAGGCCATCCCCGTGGACCG